AATATAAATATATGTAAACATCTCTTCAAATTGTCTTAAGTCATCTTTAATATATAGTCATTTAATAGCTACTGTTAAATTATTAATCTATAGCCTTATCTGGATACGCATGGCTATGGTATGTTTCTTGTCTCTCACCAAACTGCTGAAAAGTAGTTTTTAACAGTAACATTTATGAGCATGAATGGAAAGTTTTCCATGAGTTTTTGGGAATGTTTAAAAATTGCTGATTTGTGTTTTGTTACAATATTCATACACAGATAAATAGAGCAAGTTACATGGAATCACAATCATTCCTTTAAAAGAGAAAGAAGATATTCAGCAGCTTCTAATGCAAAAAGGAGGTGTATAGCTTTAGGCACTCGGAAAGTACCTCTGAAGCTTACTGCTGTTTGTGAGCAGTAAAATAAATTTGATTGCATTCTGCTTGGTTTTCATGTCAGGTCAATTCTTTCCTCAGATCGACTGACTTCCTGTGGAAACGGCACTTCTAATATTGAGAGACTCTACCTTGCAGTTATTGTCATCCTCCCTTATGGTGCTGCTGATAATAGGGGGAAGCAATACTAAAGTTCTAGCTGTCAAAATCTAACCCTTGTTTATACATGTGCAAATACTCAACCAGATGCATACATTTTTATGTGCTATTGTTAAAGTCATAAATGGATTTTCACTGTTTCTGAAATGTGCAAAACAAATTTTTATTCACACAATGTATTAGAAAATATTGTATAAATGCAAATGATACTGCATTTATTTAATTAGATACTATTTTTTTTTCCTAAATGCAGAACCAAGTACTTTTACCCCCCCAAAATGCTGCCCTTTGTCTCTAGTGATATATAAATAGTAGCCTGGGTTCAGTTACACTTTTGTCTTTCAGAAGTTCAAGTTGATGGTGGCTGAGCTATCAACATGAAACATGGTGCCAAGATACACTGCATGCTGACAGGATTTGGAACTAGTAAACATTGATCAGTAAGTTTCCTAGAACATTAGTTTTACATAATACCTTGAACAGGATACCTAAAACATATTTTATTAAAAATCTAAAAGTGTCATTTTGCTTAAGTACAGACACCCAAAATAGCATCTCTGCAATTCAAGTTTTGCAGTCTTAAAAGAAACCTCTCAAAGGCTATCCTTGCCTTTTTTTTTTTTTGTCTTCTCCTGTATTTATAGTAGTACTATTATAGCACTAATTTATAAAAAAAATAAAAAGTTTATGAAAACATACTTAGCTAGGATTCAGGAAACAAAAACTCAATTCAATTTATTTATTTCTTTTTGATTGTGCTCAGGTGACTTCTGCTTAGTGTATAGACCTTATTTCTCAGTGGAGCACAGTAGTCCTTTCTAAAGTAGCAAAGAACTAACACTTTGTAAATAAAATAACCTAGGGTTACACAAGTTCACTTGCTGTAGAGCTATAGATAGAACCTAAATCTCAGTCACAATGGATTTCATGCTGGTTGTACCAAATCATGTTCTTCCTTGGGGCATTTGTTACTGCTGCTAGAGCACACATTACTCCCAGCACTAGTGATAGAGCCTGGCAATACCCTGTATTTCACTGCTGTCTGTTATGTTACTCAGAAGCAAAGTACATGTTGTATCTCTCCCTGAGAGCTGCCCACATACATTAAAGTGTCTGACCTCAGTTATTGGTCACCCCGCTCAGTCAAATGAGAAACATGGGGTATAGCATTGAAGATCTTACCTTTAAACTCTGCTGACTGAACATGTGAGAAATGATACTCTTTAATTACATAGTGCCTAACTGTTACAAAGGAAATTTTAATTCTTGTATTTTTAAGCTTTTAAAAGCTTGACCATGCAGAATTCTTTTAATAAATTTCTCCTATGTTGACTTACTACAAAGCTTTCAAACCTATAATTTTCTGAGGTCTTCATGTAAGCAGATAGGTTTTTCATTCTTTCTATGCTAGCCATATAAATCTAAACGTAGATCATATTATTTCTGTAAAATGGTGACCAAAAGTGTCCCTACTCAAGTATATGTAGTCCTTAAAAGACTACAATAATTTTCTAATTTATAAATCATAGCAACATAACTAATTAATTAAAATTGAAAAGTGTTTTTGATGTGAAGCTACATAGGTGATTTGGGGTTACTTCTGATATTTATTTTTACCATTTGCTTTCACCTTGGTTACTAAAAAAAAAGCCACACACAACACACCACTATCCTTTTTTAGGACAGCAGAGGTCATTTCAGTATCAAGCCATTTAGTTTCATAAAGAGGGTTTAAAAAAAAAAAAAGCAGTAGGTTGTATCTGACAGCTTACATAGTGCTAGATCCTGCTTATGTAACCTCCAGAGTGGCAGAACTTTGCTGAGGACTCTTAACTTTGAGGAAGTAGAGATAAATTCAGTTGCTCTCCTTCCATCTGCCTATACTACAAATTCACCACAATACTGACATATTTTGCAAACTCGGACATCAGAATGATTGAGCTACATAAATCTTGCCTGGATTTAGCCAGCCTAAACTCCATGCATGTCCTTGCACCTTTCTGTGTCACTGCCTGCTTCTAGACACTATTTCTGTGGAAAAAGTTAGTCCACCCCACAAGGAACAGGCTGTTCTTGGGTGAGAGCAAAAGAGCAACTCTTCACTACTGTTCAGAAGGTCTCACTTGGCAAAGAAATATTCATTAAGCCCAAGAGAAAAAGAGAAGGCAAGATAGCAAAAAAAATCTCTATGCTAATGTTATTACAGTTGTTCAGAAGATGGACTACCACAACATGTCCAGACATCTTATTGAGCCACATCAGCTCAGCTGAACTAAGCACCAAATTTGTCCTATCCAAACTCTTTTGCAGAGGTAAGGCAAAAAAGATGCTGTTGATTAGCTTGTTGATCCTTATTGTATCCCCAAGAGCTAAGCTAGGGCTTCACTGGTATTTAGATACAACTTCATCAAATCTCTCCAGAAGAGCAGTGGTATAATTCCATAAATTAATCTACATTCCTGAATGCACTCAGTGAAGGCATTTAGCTCCTCTCCAAGGAGCTAAATTTTTGTAGGACACTTCCTTTTTATCATGTTCTAGGTATGTTAGTTACCATTGGTTTTAGCAAGTACCATAGAAGATCATTTAACAAAAGACTAAGATGAATAATAGCATCAAAATAAGTCTGAGACCCTATGTTTTCAGAGTTTGAGAGCAGTACTATAATTAAAAGTACAGAAGAGATTGTTGCGCTTTAAAATATTATTTAAATGAAGTACTCTTAGTAGGAGATTGACAGGGCATTTGTGTTGCAGAATAGCACATCCTTTCTGAATGCACCTCAAGTAAGCATCTAATTTGCTTCTAGAATTAGAGACCTCTAGAATTTATGGGGGATGTATGCACATATAAATATCACTATGTACATAATCCTCTTAATGATAACTGTTTATATGTATTGGGGCATATTTTGGCTTGACAACAAGCATGCAGTTGTGACAGGTATTGGAATGTGTGCATGTACACTAAGGCAACTTTTGCCTTTAAGAGATGTTAATATACCCATAAATCTCACAAATAAGTTCTAATACATAAGACATTTAACCTTCTATTAACTTGCATATACATGAGTTTGACAGCTAACTGAAACATCTGGTAAAGTTGTGAAAAAACAACTTTGTTCAAGCTTTTTCTTAAAAGGTGTTTGATTTTTGTTGTATTTTTAGAATCACAATGTCTTTACTACTGAAAACATAGATTTGCATCCCTTTGTTTACAATGCTCCCACTGAAATCAAGTCCAACCAGAAGACTGAATGAGATTTCTGAACATGAAAGATTTGTGTATTGTTGGCAATATGTTTTAGGATATTTTAACATGTTATTTGATAACAATTTGAGTGCCTTCATGGAGGTTTTTCAGGTTGTGTAAAAGACGGAAAAGTGAGGGTTATCCCTCTCCAAAAAGGGTAACAAAAGCCTAACATACCCATAACATCATTAAAATCCTATTGATTTGCTTCACCAAAATTATTAGCAGAAGCAGTGAGCATTTTTGCGCTACAGACATCTTAACAGCCGTTCGTTATCCTTTCCTATTGTCAACACAACCAATTTTTAAATACTCTAAAGGGAGAAACAATTAGTGCAAGTTATTACATAATAATTAATATCAAGACCAGACTTATCTAAAGTGAAGAGGGCATACATAATTTATGTAACCTCAAGGAAGCAGAATGAGACCTATATACCTCAGATCTCAGTGTATATACTGCTGCTTTATAGCTACAATCATTTAAAGAAAATATTTCAAAAGAACATGTTAAAGCAATCAAATTTGTTTCCATGCATATCGTTGCCAAATCACACTTGCCTTACTTATGTATGTAAGCATTGATTCTGCTCTTATTTTATAATCAGGCGTACCCTAGTAAAAAGGGATTGCAACTGAAACCTCTTCTGATGTACACCAGGTTAAGGAAAAGCAGAATCCAATCACTTTTTCTAACATGAAGCTTAGGTCCTTGCAGTTATCAGACTGTATAAGAACTATCCACGTTCTCATTTCAAAAATTGGCTGCTTCTCTTTTAACATGAGCTCTGAGGGTTGTAAGGGACCTACAAATTAACTGGAAGTAACAATGTTATTGTATTTGCCATTATTCTGTGGGCTGTTAGATAAACAACTTTTTAGTTAATCTTCACAGCAACTTCAAGAAGGTGCTTCACTGTGACAGAAGCCTGCAGTATTATTGTTAGCCAAGCTGTCTATCAGCTTTTGTCCTGCATCTTTTGGTTCCATTGACTAAATAAGCCTCAGAAGGGAATTTATTTACTATGTCTCAGAGTGATGAGGTCCCCAGGTTTATCCACATTCCTGTCCTTCCCTCCCCCACCACCCTTTTTTTTTTAAAAAAAAGCAAAGCTTCAGGCATATAGAACTTTTGCCAGGCTTGACATTGTTAACACACACTCAGCTGGACATGCATCACTGTGGATTGCTTGCCTTTCAGCAGTATTACCTTAGATTGGCAGAGGAGACCTCATGCTGGTCTAATTCCAGAAATAATTCCAAACAGATATCTCAGTCATTTCCCTGAAGAAGATAAATTACCAGCTGCATACTGCTCTGAAACACAGAATTAAGTGCATTAGACAAAGATGTTTGTTGTATTTAAATGAGAAAAATGAGGATGCTTTACAATTTTAAAGCACAAAATCTTCTCTCTCATTCTATGTGCAATATACTAATGCAAGACAAAAAGAGAAAATGAATCAGTCATTTTACAGATAGCGGGGCACAAAAATAACTACATATTAACATTTCAGATATTTGGCTCTTGAATATAAATGAATTTGTTACAACAAGAATGTTAAAGGGACAAATGCAGTAGCAATATCAAGTGGCCTAAGTATACGAACAGCACTAGAAAACCCTTAGTTTTAACCCTAGTTCTGATAATATCTTGTGCTTGACCTCTAATAAACCCTTTTACCTCTGTATGTATTTATTCCTGTGAAACAGGGATAAAGATAATTTACTCTTTGCCACAGCGACTGACTGTGAGGCTTATTACCTCAGTGTATATAAACTGTTTTTAAGGCATTATGTAAAAGCTGTTGTTATTAATGGAGATGCACATAAAACTATTTCAAAAGAATATTTGTTGGGATCAAAATTAGATTAGAGCTTAAGTAACTTGTAAAATAACTTTGCTACAGTAAAAAAAATATCCATTTAACTTAGGTTTTACACATATATAGTGCTTGTTACCATTTTAACATAGGAGCTCCAAACTACCTAATATTTAACCTAAGAGACAAGAATAATCCATTAATCAGAGAATCACAGAATGAATCATAGAATGCTTAAGGTT